CCCCCAGGGGGGATGGTCACGCCGCAATCCCTTCTCCTCCATTCTCCTCTCGGGATCTTGGGCACGCACGCACACACGCCCGGCGTGAGTTTTAAGCCACCGGGTCCGGGACGCGAACCACGGTCGACTACATGGGAGTCCAGCGACATAGCTGTTACGCTAACTGCTGGTTCCCCCCAGAATATATATTTTTTTAAGTTTATTTCTTTCAAGAAAGAGAGGGAAGGTGGGGCACCCGTGACAGGGGCCTGCTGCCATGATCCTCCTCCGCTGTCAGCCACCCATGATCACACATATGAACCCAGTGTGCACAGGGAGACGTAGGGACACAGACCCATGTGGTCATCCCCCTGGTGGGTGATTTCTCATTCATTCTCTCTCTCTCTCTCTCTCTCCTGTGAGAGCACATACTCTTTAGCAAAAAACCTTAAAGAAAAAAAACCAGGACATGGTGCCTCATTCTCTGGCACTGTCTGTTCATGGTTTCATGGGGTCAGGGTTTGTTTTTTTTTTGTTTTGTTTTTGTTTTTGTTTTTGTTTTTTGAGGCTTAACAATGTTAGGTGCCCTGAAACATTTTTCTCATTTTAAGGTACTGATGGGACTGCCCAGTAGTGATGGACCTTCCCACGTGGCCTCAATTCGTACTGTTGAGTTACTACTGAACCATTGTGGCTGGCCAGAAATAGACTTAATTTCTTTTTTATTTTTTAAGTTTATTCCTTCCACAAGTAACAGAGCTAGAGGGGAAAGCACTTCCAACAGGGTCTTTTTATCCCCAATGTTGCCAGGTAGCAACTGTGTGAGACAGAGTGAGGGAACGGGAAAGCACCGCCCCGCATGGGGGTGGCCATGCCGCGTTTCCTCTCCTTCATCTCTCCCTCCTCTCAGGGTTTTGGGCACAATACATACATGTGCCTCGTGTGCTTCTTAAGCCACTGGGTCCAGGGCTTGAACTGTGCAGCCAGTCATGTGGGATCCAGCCACCTTAACTACCAGGCCTTGGGCTAGCCCCAATAAGGTCTTGACATTACTGTCTACGCCCAGCCTCATCCACCCTAAATGGAATAATGGGCACACGTGTACTCACGGAGGCCTTGGAATGTGAACCTAGATATTTCCTGTGTAGGTCAGCCTTGCAGAGCTTTGTTTCATCTCTGCACCACCACCTGGCCCCTATCATTTTGAATGTTTCGGTTTTTTAAGCAGACGGCACATGTGCTCACCAAAAGAAGAGAGAGAGGAGGGGAGGAAGAAAGCACCCCCCCACGGAGCGCAGTCATGCTGCAATTTCCTCTCTTCCATTTCTCCCTCCCATCAGAATTTTGTACACACACACACACACACACACACACACACACCTGGCATGTTTTCTAAGCAACCAGGGCCAGGATTCAAACCACAGTCAGCCATGTAGAATCCAGCTCCATTAATCACTCGGCCATGGGACCAGCCTGTAATATTATTTCTTTTAAATAAAATTATACTGGCTGAATTATTAGGAGCTAAGAACAAGATGAAATTCATGCACCCCTTTCCCTTGACATCTCCATTAAACTTCAGAGACTTGGGCCAGCAGGTGGTGTCGTGGTCAAGGTGCTGAACTGTTACACAGCCGACCATGGTTTGAGTCCTGGACCTGGCCGCTTGAAAATCAGGCTGGGTGTATGTGCTTGCCCCAAATCTCAGGAGAATGGAGAAGGGATTGTGGCATGACCATCCCTCCTGGGAGGTGATTTCTGATTTTAGCTCTGTCTCTGCAAGCTCATGGGCTCTATGAGAAAAACCTTTAAAAACAGGAGCCAGCAGGTGGCATGTGGTTAAGTGTGCTGGACTCCCACATGGCCAAAAATAAATAAATAAATAAATAAATAAATAAATAAATAAAATAATTCTTAATTTTTTTTTATCTTAAAAAACAAAAACCAAAACCACAGGAACGCAAATATTAATCAATGCCAAACTACCTCATTATCCTGCAGGTAAATGTTCTCTCCATTTTAAAAATGTTGTCTGAGTTTCTGATCAAAGAAACATTTTTTAGTGCATAATTGGCCTTCTTTTTAGTAAACTTTAAACTTGGCTTCTGTTTTAAAGAACACAAATTTATCCAATGTTATAAATTCCACAGCAGGTGTTGAAGATCTTAACATCGTTCAGGTGACCGTTCCAGGTAGGAACATTTACGTGACTTTATCATAATTTACATTATGTTTTATTTTGTCTTAAACATTTTATGATCTGGCTCAGTCTCTTGAGGCTTTTTGTTTTTCAGTTCCCCTGGCAAGTAAGAATGACAGTTCAGGAATATAAAATATGCTGCAGATTGCCACACCCAAGTGCCTTGCTCCGATTAGATCAGACATTGTCGGTCAGATACCTTCCTTCTCCCAGCCGTGTCTGGGCATTACCTAGAAAAGTCCCCTCTTGACAGGCAGCTTGAAGCACTAGACACTATTGAGCTGGAATTTGTCACAGAGGTGAAATTTATTGGCTGCCCACCATCAAATATTTTTCTTTTCTCTGTATGTGTATGTGAAATATGTCTGGAAAAATCAAAAAATATCTAATAACACAGTTCCTTTAGGTAAGGAAGCAGAGGTTAGATAGGGATGGGATAGAGACATTTCTGCCTTCTGTTTTTTACCTCTTGAATTTTGAACCTTATGGTTGCTTTAGTTCTTCAAAATTTTAAAGAATAAAACTTTTTAAGAATTATTTTAATTGCACTCATTGTTATTATTTTTTTATTTCTTGAAATTAACCAGAGAGAGAGAAGGAAAGTGAGAAAGCAAGCTGCCAGGTTCGGGACTCAAAACGCAGTCAGCCACGTGAAAGTCCAGCTGCCTTAACCACTGCGCCACCTGCCAGCCCCAAAGAATAAAATGTTATATTTTCTTCTAGTCCCACTCTGTCTTATTCCTTTTACTTGTCATGTTACTCTGGCTAAGATTTATACCGTAATGCTGAGAGTGGTGATAAAAATGGACATCCTTACCTTCATGATATGAAAATATTCCCTAAAAGTGGCATGTATGGGACCAGCAGATGGCATGATGGTTACGATCCAGGACTCCCATGTAGTTGACTACAGTTTGAGTCCCAGATCTGGTGACTTAAAACTCATGCCGGAGTGTGTGCATGCATGCCCGAATTCCTAGTGGAGAAAGAAGGAGAAAGGATTGCAGTGTGGCCATTCCCCCTGGGTGTGATTTCTCACTTCCTGTCTCTCTGGTGAGTGCACACACCCTATAGCAAAAATGTCTCTCTTAAAAAAAAATAGTATGTGGCATGTTTCTATAGGGTTATAATCTGGAAAATGTTCTATTGTCTCTCGTGACTTCCACTTACACATTTCTCAAATGTTTAATTATTGCTCAAAGCACACTGAATGAAAAGCCAGGTAAAGGGCTTTCTCATACTAACAGGCCTTTCCTCCCACAGCTTTCTTGGGGGGGAAATACATTAATAACTATGGTTTTTGTTTGTGTAATTGTTTGTAGACAATGAGAAGGAGAGGCTCTCCAGTATTGAAAAGATTAAACAGCTAAGAGAACAAGTCAATGACCTGTTTAGCCGAAAATTTGGTAAGTTTTTATATCATTACATAGCCAGAATTTTAATACTTGAGATACTTCTTTTTAAAAGAATGGCTTATCTTCTAAGAAATTGATCTTTCTATGAAAGAGCAACAACATTAGTGTGTATATATTTTTAAGTTAGTTTCTTTCTGGTTTGAGGGGAAGAGAAAGACCGGGATCCTCTTACCAGGGTTCCTGCCATGCTGTGGTCTCCTTCCAGCCTCCCTGCTAGCCAGGATCATGGGCATATGAAGGCACGCCTGGCCGCTCTCTCCGCACTACCACTGAAAAGGAAGTGGTAGTAGCCGATCACTGATGTTGTCACCTGACGACGATGATTTGAAAACCTTGACATGAAAAATAAAGTGTAGTTTGGGAAAAGTTAGCGACAGACTCAACTAGTTTAAGCTGCTTGTGTCACAGGCGAGGCAATTGGTGTGGACTTCCCCGTGAAGGTTCCCTACAGGAAGATCACCTTCAACCCTGGCTGTGTGGTGATTGACGGCATGCCCCCGGGGGTGGTGTTCAAAGCACCCGGTTACCTGGAAATCAGCTCCATGAGAAGAATTCTGGATGCTGCAGAGTTCATCAAATTCACGGTCATCAGGTGAGCAAGAGGCCCCGGCCGGGCCATCAGAACAGCTGTGGAGGTTGTAGCTTGCCCATGTGGGTGAGGGCAGCCAGGCTGCTTGCCCCGTGAGGTGAGTCCCTGCCGTAAACTACCTGGCCTTGTTGCCAGTCACACTCATTTACCATCACCTCCTTCTGCAAAGTGTGTGTCCCTGTTCTGGTGACAGTGGGCAGCTGTCTCTGAGTTAGCCACCACTGTGCCTAAGCATAGAGTTGCCACCCAGCGAAGTCAGTTAAGTCAAACCGAAGAGACAAGGGGAGAAAAATGAGCTTCACTGCATTCACAAATGTCTCTTTCTCTTCAGACCCCTTCCTGGACTTGAGCTTAGTAATGGTGAGTATTCGGTGTGGTAAGAATGTTCCAGATTGTTTTGCCGTGTGAAGGGTCTTGGTGGGTAGTTACCATAGAACCTTGCTCCTTAAGCCTCAGAGTGAAACATGTAGCTTTACATATACTTTATTTCTCCCTGTGTGTTATAAAGTTCTGGAATACTGTTGCTTGAGTTTTATTTTATTTTTTAATTAAAAACATTTTTTTTAGAATTTTTTGCTTTAGGGCATGTGCACTCACTAGAGAGACAGAGACAGAAAGCAAGACATCACCCCCCAGGTGGGATGGTCACACTGCAATCCCTTCTCCTTTCTCCTCTCAGGATCTTGGGCATGCACACACACACACCTGGTGAATTTCAAGCCGCCAGGTCTGGGACTCAAACTGCAATTGACTGTGGGAGTCCAGCAACATAACCTTTATGCCATCTGCTGGTCCCAATCTTCAAAAATATTTTGGTAGAGATTTTTGCTGTAGGGCATATACACTCACTGGAGAGACAGACAGAAAGCAAGAAATCACTCCCCAGGGCAATGGCTACACCACGGTCTCTTTTCCTTTTTTTTTTTTTTTTGGAGAGGTTTTTCACTATAGGGCACGTGTGCGCGCCAGACAGACAGAGAGAGACATAGAGACAGAAAGCGAGAAATCACCCCCCAGGGGGGATGGCCATGCCACAATCCCTTCTCCCCCATTCTCCTCTCGGGATCTTGGGCACGCATGCACACGCACCCGGCATGAGTTTTAAGCCACCGGGTCCAGGATGCGAACCACGGTCGACTACGTGGGAGTCCAGCAACATAGTCATTACTCTAACTGCTGGTTCCCATGGTCTCTTTTCCTTTACTATCTTCCTGGGATTCTGGGCACCCATGCACATGCACCCAGCGTGAATTTCAAGTTGCTGGGTCTGGGACTCAAACGGTGGTTGCCCATGTGGGAGTCCAGCACCTTAACCACTGTACCACCTGATGGCCCACTTGAGTTTTATTAATCAGGCAGTTGTTCCTCATTCAGCATTTGGGTACAGCTTGAGTGACAGCAGACTGTTGGTCATAATGTGTGACATGGGTCACACTCTTATTTGAAAGTCCTGTGTGGTGGGGGCTCCCTGTGCCTACCTACCCATTGCATTGAGATCATAATGCAGCGCTGCTCGATATTGCAAAAAGTGCCTGCCTGGCCACCCAGCCTCACCTCTAGCACCACCCTCTGGACCAGTTTGACCTCCCCACAGTTCTGAAGCAAAGGGGGTACCACTTTGCATAGCAGAGGGGCTCTCAGAAGCACCTCCAGTGCTAAGATTGACATCTGATGGATGTGAAACATTTGTAATGTCTCCCCTGGAGCCCTATCCAATGGGAGGAAAGCAGAAGATGGGGACGTCTCAAGAGTTGGAGTCACTGGGGATCCTCCCAGTTTAAAGTTTCAAAACTAAAGTGTTCTTTGATCTCTTTTATCATTTTTTTAAAAGTTTATTATTTCTTCCATGAGAGAGACTGAGAGACAGGTGCCCCGACAGGGTCTTTCTGCCATCCTGGATCACAGGCACTCAGGTTCCCTGCATGCTCAGGGAAATCCCCGGACACGAACCCTGGATGTTTCCCACGTGGATTTAGTTGCATTACTGCTAAACCACCTCCTGGCCCCTTAAAGTTTCTTTTAAAATATTCTGTTGTTGGGCCAGCTGGTGACATGGTGTTTAAGGAGGCTGGATCCCACGTAGCTAACTGTGTGGTTCCCGTCCTGTACACGATGGCTTAAAAAATACACAGGGCACGTGTGTGTGCGTGTCCAGAATCCTGAGGGGAGAATGGAAGAAAAGGGATTGCAGTGTGGTCGTGTCCCCTGGGGTTGTTTTCTCACATCCCCTCTCTTTCTTTGTCTCTCTCTTATAAGTATACATGCCCTATAGCAAAAAAAAAAAAAGTGCCCTATTATCATTCTTAAACTCATTTGGTTGCTAAATAATGTGTGTGTGTGTGTGTATACATATGTATATATGTGATTTCAGAAAAGTAATAATGTATTTTTCTGTTTTTCTGTACAGAAATGTATCATTATCATGACTTTTCCAACAACCTTTTTTTTTTTTTTTGCCATGGGGTACATGAACCCACTAGAGAGACAGAGAGAAAGAAAGTGAAAAGTCACTCCCTAGGGAAATGGCCACACCACAATCCCTTCTCCTCTTGGGATTCTGGGCACACACAGATAGGCACCCAGCATGATTTTCAAGCTGCTGGGTCTAGGCCTCAAACCATGGAGTTGGCCATGTGGTATCCAGCCACCACCCACCCCTTCACATTATCCACTAGCCCTTATTTATTTATTTATTTATTTATTTATACACACGCACACACACATATAATTAGTTTATTTAGCTTTATTTATTTTTTAATTTAATCAGAGAAGGACAGAGAAAGAGGAAGAAAGTAAGAAAGCAAGCCGCCAGGTCCAGGATTTGAATTGCAGTCTGCCATGTGGGAGTCCAGCACTCTTAATCACTGTGCCACCTGCTGACCCAATTTTTTATATTTTTAAATAGCTTTATTGAAGCATCATTTACATACATAAATTTCACTTGTGTTAAATGTACACTTCAGTGATTTCTAGTAAACTTAGAGTTGTACAACTATCACCACAATGTAATATTTGAACATTCTGTCATCCCCACAAAAGATTCCACCTGCCACTGGGTCTGGGACTCAAACAGCATAGTTGGCCATGTGGGATTCAGCTGCCTTAACCATTGTGCCACTAGCTCATCCATCTCTCTTGCTCATGGAATAAATAAATAACCTAAAAAAAAAGCTGGGCCAGGTGGTGATGCAGTGGTAACGCATGGGGAAGGTCCTGGGTTCACATCTTAGGACCTCCCTGAGCATGTTGGGTGCACACATGCATTGCCACGATCTGAGCCAGCTGAGACTAGGGGTGGATGCTGGCATGAAGACCTGGTTGGGGATAGGTCTCTCTTTTCTTTCTCTCAGAAGAAATGAATAAATTTTTACAAAAAAGCAAACACACTGTCAAGTCATTCATATTTCAACCACAGCTGCTCACTGAACATCACCACAGATGTCCTCTTTTGGCTAATAGACCTTTTAAAAATGGGAGTACAGGGGCCAGCAGGTGGTGTGATGGTTAAGGCACTGTACTCCCCCATGGCCTACTGTGGTTCGTGTCCTGGATCCGGCAGCTTAAAAATCATACTGGGTTGGGGACAGCAGATGGTGTAATGGTTACATTGCTTGACTCCCCTGTAGTCAAATGTGGTTTGGGTCCCATACTCAGTGGCTTAAAACTCACACCAGGCACATGTGCATATGTGCCCAAATCCCAAAAGGAGATTGGAGGAGAAGGGATTACAGCGTGGCCATCCTTCCTGGGGGGTGATTTCTCACTTTCTCTCTCTCTGTCTTTTTCTCTCTCTCTGGTGAGCACATGAGCCCTATAGTAAAAATCTCTTTAAAAAAATGCATGCTGGGCTCATGTGTATGCATGTCTAAAATCCCAGGAGAATGGAGGAAAAGAGATTGCAGCATGGGCATGCCCCTTACGGGGTGATTTCTCACCTTCTCCCTCACTGTCTCTCTCTGGTAAGCGTACACAACCTGTGGCAAAAGTAAAAAAAAACAAAAAGGAAATAATAGCCAACATTGAAAAGCTAAGTGCAGCCCTACATGTCCTCCCCTAGGTTTTATTTAGAAGTTGAAGGATGTGCCCTGGTGGGGCTGTGTCTCCCTGTCCCGCAGTGGTTTGCTGGCCGAGTGTCAGTCATCCCTTCCTCAGGGTGTTTGCGCTCCACCTCCACCTCCCCTGGCCCACCCCAGCCACCTTATCCCCCACCTTATTACCACGTATTCACACTGTTTTCCTAATAGTTGAATTAAGAGAAAAGCGAAATGTGTCATGTCTCCATGTCTCTATCCAAAGTGGGAAAACGAAAGATAGACCAAGAGGGCCGTGTGTTTCAAGAAAAGTGGGAGAGAGCGTATTTCTTCGTGGAAGTGCAGAATATTCCCACGTGCTTAATATGCAAGCAGAGCATGTCTGTGTCCAAAGAGTACAACCTGAGGCGCCATTACCAGACCAACCACAGCAAGCACTATGACCAGTACACTGAGAAGATGCGTGACGAGAAGCTTCATGAGCTCAAAAAGGGGCTGAGGAAGTATCTCCTGGGGTCATCAGAAACCGTGAGTCCTGAGCAAAAACAGGTGTTTGCAAACACGAGTCCAGCTGACCCAGCCACCGTGCAGCCTGTGGAAGATGTGGCCGGGAACTTATGGCAGAAGCTACGGGAAAAAATCAAATCGTTTGTGGCATATTCTATTGCGATCGATGAGATCACGGATATCAATAATACCACTCAGTTGGCCATATTCGTCCGTGGGGTGGATGAGAATTTTGATGTGTCTGAAGAACTTCTGGATACGGTGCCCATGACAGGGACAAAATCTGGAAATGAGATATTTTTGCGTGTCGAAAAAAGTCTTAAAAAATTCAATATCGACTGGTCAAAATTAGTAAGCGTGGCCTCCACAGGCAGCCCTGCCATGGTGGATGCACATAATGGACTCGTCACAAAACTGAAAGCCAAGGTGGCAATGGTGTGCCAGGGCCCAGCACTTAAATCCATCTGCTGCATTATCCACCCCGAATCGCTGTGCGCTCAAAAGCTAAAGATGGACCACGTCATGAACGTGGTGGTGAACTCCGTCAACTGGATCTGCTCCCGGGGACTGAACCACAGCGAGTTCACAACTCTGCTGTACGAGCTGGACAGCCAGTACGGCAGCCTTCTGTACTACACAGAGATTAAGTGGCTCAGTCGTGGGCTGGTGCTGAAGAGGTTTTTTGAATCATTGGAAGAAATCGATTCTTTCATGTCAGCCCGAGGCAAACCCCTGCCTCAGCTGAGCTCTGAAGACTGGATCCGAGACTTGGCCTTCTTGGTTGACATGACGATGCACCTGAATACCCTGAACCTCTCTCTGCAAGGCCATTCGCAGATCGTGACACAGATGTACGACCTGATTCGGGCCTTCCTAGCCAAACTGTGCCTGTGGGAAACTCACTTGGCAAGGAATAATCTGGCCCACTTCCCCACACTGAAATCGGTTTCCAGAAACGAAAGCGACGGCCTGAACTACATTCCCAAAATTGTGGAACTAAAGACTGAATTCCAGAAAAGGGTGTCTGACTTCAAGCTCTGCGAGAGCGAACTGACCCTGTTCAGCTCTCCGTTCTCCACGAAGATCGACAGTGTGCAGGAGGAGCTGCAGATGGAGGTCATTGACCTGCAGTGCAACACCGTCCTAAAAGCCAAGTACGACAAGGTGGGCATCCCCGACTTCTACAAGTACCTCTGGAGCAGCTACCCGAAATACAGACAGCACTGCGCGAAGATCCTCTCCATGTTTGGGAGCACCTACGTTTGTGAACAGCTCTTTTCCATCATGAAGCTGAGTAAAATGAAATACTGCTCCCAGTTAAAGGAGTCCCAGTGGGATTCCGTACTCCACATCGCCTCGTGATGAAGAATACTCCTGGTAGGGCCCCCCGAGGTATGTAGGACTAGAATCTTCTAGGCCCAAGGCATAGTGACATAAAAAAATGAATCACTAAATATTGCTGTTTTCCCATTTTTCCCCCTTTGGGTTGGAAATACAGTTTGCAGTATTATACTGGTTTGTATGACATTTTATGCTTTATCGTAGTTCAGTAAAAAACATTGTATTTCTAGTGATTGCATTTTCTTCTTTTGTTACAGACTATGTGCCTGTAACTTTTTTTTATTTTTTTTGAGAGGTTTTTGCTATAAGGCGCATGCGCTCGCCAGACGGAGAGAGACAGAAAGCGAGAAATCACCCCCCCAGGGGGGATGGTCACGCCGCAATCCCTTCTCCTCCATTCTCCTCTCTGGATCTTGGGCACGCATGCACACGTGCCCGGCGTGAGTTTTAAGCCACCGGGTCCGGGACGCGAACCACGGTCGACTACATGGGAGTCCAACAACATAGCCATTACGCTAACTGCTGGTTCCCGTGGTTGCATTTTCTTAAGACTGGCCTGTTTCACTCATTCACGTTACCTCCTTGACCCCTGGTAGATACTGCAGTTGGCATCTTAAGAATTTTTTTTATTATTATTATTATTATTATTATCATCATTATTTTCCAGTTTGATCAGAGAGAGACAGAGAGTGAGAGGAAATGAGAAAGCAAGCCACCAGTTCCAACACTTGAACCATGGTCGGCCATGTGGAAGTCCAGCGCCTTTAACCACCGTGCCACTTGCTGGCCCCTGCAGTTGGCATCTTGAAGTTCAAATCAATCAACTGAGAAGCAGTAGCAGACAGATGTGTATATTCACAGGGGGATGTATGCATATACGTTAACATCCCACCCCATGTTTGCATGGCACCCCACAAAGTCTAACATGCTTCCAAGTTTAAGAAGCATCATTTGGAGACCTATTCATATTCTATAGTATTGTTTTTTTACTTTCTTTCCATCCTTCTCTCTAGTCCACATCTGTGTGTTTGTAATTGTTTTTGTAAGTATGTAAAATGTCTATGGGTGTCCATAGTGTGTGTATAAATGTATATGCACTTTAACCATTTTAGGAAAAGTTACATGCATCTAGGACCTCTTTAGGGAGTATTTTCTTTCTTCTTCTTCTTCTTCTTCTTCTTCTTTTTTTTTTTTTAATTTTTATTCCTTCTCCTCCATTCTCCTGTCAGGAGACAGAATTGTGTTTCTCAAGCAGCCAGATCTGAGACTCAAACCACACAGTCATTCAGGTGGGATCTGGCTGCCCCAACCACCACCCCATCAGCCGGCCCCCCACATTCCTTCTTTACCCTTTCTTTACCCTGGCATGTATGTTGGGACTAGGATGGCCTGGGGTACTATGGCCATTGACCAGCACTGATACTCATGTGCCTGAGTCGAACCTGGGGACAACTGAATGAGTGGAGATGGCTTTAGCAGACTTGCAAATGGGGTGTGTGCAGATGGGAGCATTAAAGATGGTGTTGTGGGGAGCATGGGAAGGACCTACGCAGGAGCGGAAGGCTGGATTTGGTGGGTGTGTTAGTTTCCAGGAGTGGGGGTGCTCTGCGTTTGTCCCAAGGTCCTAGCTTCCCATCCCAGGATGGGCAGAGGAAAGAGCTGGTTGCTCCTCTGACTGACTCAGGAGTCAAGGGTGTGTGGGGAGGCCTGGAGACCAGTCCTACCTCACACACAGCCTGGCATGCATCTGTGTTCTCACACACTCTCCTCTGAGCATCCTCCAGCTACAGCACCCACTATACCACCACACCCCAGAGACCATGAGCTCTGCAGGGCAGAATAATGTCCTCCATCCAGCTGGGCTTTGGAATCAGTGAGAAAAGCCAGGCTGTGTCTCCCAGCTCCGCCACCTTTGTGCCCTATTGGCCTAAGCAAATCCCTTCTTAAACTAAGAAACTACACTTTCTGGTCTTTGGTTTCCTTGCTTATAAAATACCTGACAGGGTTGTTTCTCAGAACTGGAGGCGTCGTGATGAGCTGAGTACTGTGTCTGGTTTTAACACTTGACTGGAGAGGCGACAGTTCGGCCCTAACTCTGAGCTGCCCTTGTTCTCCCTGCTGATGCCAGGCCTTCCTGACCACAGGCACAGCTGCCTCCACCTCCAGCTCTCCCATCTGGCACATGACACTGTGCTGGCACAGGGCAGCCTCGAGGGGGCCAGAATATAGAAAGAAAAAAAAGAAAAGGGAAACATTTGAACAGGACTTCTGCTTGGAAAAAAGTGAAACTAAAATTATGAAAATAATAAGCTGGGGTTGGTGGTTCATTTTTCTCTCCTTTTTTTTTTTTGGAGAGGTTTTTGCTTTAGGGTACGTGTGTTCACCACAAAGACGGAGAGACAGAAAGCAAGAAATCACCCCCCAGGGGGGATGGCCACGCCACAATCCCTTCTCCTCCATTCTCCTCTTGGGATCTTGGGCACGCACGCACACGTGCCCGGCGTGAGTTTAAGCCACCAGGTCCGGGACTTGAACCGCGATGACTACATGGGAGTCCAGCGACATAGCCATTACGCCAACTGCCAGTCCCAGTGGTTCATTTTTCTACAGCTTTGTGTGATAGCTCTTGACGCTGGACTTCTCCAACAAAAGGGTCTGCAAAATGTGAAACTGTTAAGGGTTTCCGTGGTTTTCTCAAGGCCTTACACTATGCTTTGATGGTCAGAAAATTCTGAGGAGCATCTGTTCCCTTGATTTTTCTCTTATCGCTAAGGGTACTTGCCTTGCCCATCCTCACAGAGCCACTCTCCAGTGAGGGGCAGTCCTCCACACTTCCATGGCCTTCAAGACAAATGCATCTACGAGATTAGCAGCTCCACCTTGGCGCCATAATATCTTTTTTTAATAAAGAATTATTTTATTAAACTTTACTTATTTATTTATTTTAATGCGACCAGAGAGGGACAGAATGAGAGAGAGAGAAAGAGAGGGGAGAGAAAGGGAGAAAGCAAGCTGCCAGGTCCAGGGCTCAACTGCATTTGGCCATGTGGGAGTCCAGTGCCCTTAACCACCATGCCACCTGCTGCCCGGTCTCCATATCTTTTGGAAAGACCCACTGCAAAGTCTGAGGCCATGAACTGGCAGCAAAGTAGGGATTAGTCTGCTCATCAGTGAAGTATTTGCTTTCTGGTACAACCTCCAAATTGAGACCAAGTCTCAGTGAGTTACGTAGACACCACACTCGTTCTTAAATTACATCCCCCCTCCCCGCAGCCATAAGCTCCTGCCTCACTCTGGACTGCAACCTCTCTCCTCAGGAGGTGACTGGCCCAGTGCACTGTCTACCCATCTTCAGGTCTTTTCTGCAGTGAGGCCAGAGTTCAAGCAGGTGGTTTCTGACCAGAGAAACAACTCAGCCCATGACCGGGAGTTCCTCTTGCACTTGGCCTTGTGCAAACCTATTCTTTGCCAAGGCAGGGCAATGTGCAACCAGACCTGGCTCTTGCAACTTTCCGCTAGCAGAGCTCACAGTCCTCTGACATTCTAGAAGTAACCTCTAGAGCGAGCCCCGCCCGCCCCTGGTCTCTTCAGAGCCTCTGTCCGCACCAAGCAACATTTATTGATTGAAGGTAGTAGAGAGCCACGTGGGGCGGGGACCCAGAGCTGTCTTCAGGCGTCCAGACACCAGACTACGTACACGTATATACAGAGATGGGATACGAGGTGCCCGAGGGGCCGGGGCGCTACTAGGAAGCGGCACCCTGGCCTCCAACGGCGGACGCAAGCTTCCGCTTGGTGCTCTCGCTGCAGCGATGCAGAATGACATCCGCGCTGGGCCGTGGGGGAACCGCAGGCTGCGGCTTAGCTCCGGGCTCCTCCTCTGCGGGTGAACGAGCCACCGGGTCAGAGGCTCCGCCCCGCACACGGCCCCGCCTCTACCACGCCACGCCTTCGGGGCCAGCCCCTTTACACTCGCTCCTCCCTGGCCACGCCTCCCCGTGACTCCGCCCCCTGGAGGCTCGCCCCCCCCTCTGCTGGTCCCCGCCAGCACTCACGCAGCGGGCTCGGAGGGCTCTGCGGTCCGAGTTGTGCTGGGCCGCGACGCTGCCGCAAGTAACGAACGCTGTTGCGGCGATAGGTGTCCTGGCTCAGGCGCTTCCGCGACCGCTGGTGGATGCTGTGCGCGTTACGGATGGATGACCTGGCCCAGAGGGATGGAGGCATCGTCAGAATCCCGGTTCCCCCGCCGTACGCACTACCCTACCCACCTGATGGGAGCCCCTGGAGTCCGTAGGTTGGCCGGAGGAAGAGGGGGACCGAGCGTCTGCCCCTGTCACCGACGCAGAGCCCATGCTTATTTCCCATGCCCCTCGCCGGCCTTCAGCGTGCCTCTTCCCGGGATGACCTCCCCGACTGCCACAGCCTTCACCAATTGTCCCAAGAACCCTGGGCACCCGCCTTCGCCTCCACCTTATGTGTCAGCTTCCACGCGGCCGGCGGGCGAGTCGAGACACGCCTTCCAGTGAAGGCCTTTTCTCCAGCAGGCTGGGAGCCTATCCTGTCTCCCTTGCCCCTGCACTGCCAATCCGGGGCCTGACCTGAGAGGGAACCCATGGAACACTCCCCTTAGTCCCACCTGGGGGCCCTGGCTCACCTGCGGGGGGGCGCCCCTCGGCTCTTAATTTGGCGTTGGGCCTGGGTCAGGTCCTGCCCTGACTTTTGCAGGTACATGGACGGGAAGTAGCCTGTGACGTCGTCTTTCCTGGAACAGAGACAGCCCTTGAGGCTCAAGCAATTGTGTGTGTGTGTGTGTGTGTGTGTGTGTGTGTGTGTGTGTTGGGGGCAGGGGTGCTCAGAAATGGGGAAGGGGTTTTTAGGGCACCCTCTGAACACTTGGGGGTCAAACCAAGCTGAGAGATTACAACCAACCAGACCCTGCCCCTGCAGGCCTCTGGTTTTCATCTGTACAACACAAACCCTCCCAGCACTCCTTTCAAAGTCAGTGTAGGGGAGGAAGTTGGCAGATCACGGTCTCCTCAGGTGTCCAGTGTTTTCTAGATGACATCTGCAAGATTGTATTTGTCAGTTCTTTTCTTTTATGCTGATTGCGTTTGTGTCCTAAGAACCTCTGGCTACCTTCAGATCATGAAGTACTTTTCTTATGCTTTCTTCCAAATGCTTTTTAGTTTTAGGTTTTAAGCTTGGTGAAACCAGCAATCCATCAAAAATAAGTATTTGTGGGACCAGCAGTTAGTGTAATGGCTATGTCGCTGGACTCCCACGTAGTTGACCACGGTTCACGTCCCGGACCTGGTGGCTTAAAACTCACACCGGGCGCGTACGTGTGTGTGCCCAAGATCCCGGTAGGAGAATGGAGGAGAAAGGATTGTGGCATGGCCATCCCCCCTGGGGGGTGATTTCTCGCCTTCTGTCTCTCTGTCTCTCTCTGTGTGGCGAGCGCATGCTCCCTATAGCAAAAACCTCTCCAAAAAAAATTAAATAAAAATAAAAATAAGTATTTGTGGGGACCAGCAGGTGACATGATGGTTTAGGTGCTGGACACTCTCACAAAGCTGACCACGGTTCAAGTCCTGGACCTGGCGGCTTACTTTCTCACTTTCCCTCTTTCTCTCTCTGTGTCTCTCTCTGGTCAAACTAAAAATAAATGAATGAATAAATGAAATTAAATAAATAATTTTAAATAAATAAATAAATTTTGTGTATAGTGTGAGGTAGGAATCTATTGAAAGGTTGGGGGAAGGTTACTGTTTGTTTCTTCTTTTTTTCTTTTTTTTTTTTTTACTGTAGATATCCAATTGTCCCACCACCATTTGTTAAAAAAAAGTTTTCCATTTTTTCCTCAAATACTGTAAGAGTTTTGCTTTGTTTTAGCTTTTACTCTTTATGTAATACAAGCTTCACATGGTAAATTTCTAATTCTTTTTGGCTGGTAGGAAATCACAGGATTCTTCAGGGTGCACAATGAAGGTTAACTGAGTATGGGTCTAAACTGCCGAGAAGGGCTGCCTCAAAACCCCAGTTTAGGGCCAGGCTGTGTGTGGTAGGCACAGCCTCAGGATCAGCTTGCTGAGGACACAGGCTGACTCTGCAACCTTGGGCTCAGAAAACACAGGCAAGGACTTGGAGGGCCCCATGGCTCCAGGGAAATGGCTGGGCCAGACCCTGGAATTTTGTCTTCTCCAGAACCAGGAATAACAACGACAATTAGTATTCCTACATTCATTTCAAAAGAAGGACGATATAGTCTGCTTCAGTAGTTCTCACGTGTAATGACTGATATACTCACTCACGGTGTTGACATTTTTTAGAGTAACATATGGAGTGGTCAAGAAGGGGCCCTAAGTCACAAAGGGAAAGTTGAACCCACTGGGACAAGGACACTGAGCCCCACAAAGCAGACAGAGCAGGCCCATCACTCTTCTGCTATCAAGATGGAAACAGCCCAGAGGGGGGCAGTGGCTTACCCAGAGTCACACACCCAAATCAGCCCAGAGCCCAGATAGGCCCTGTCCTGGCAGGGGCTGACCCTCAGCTGGACGCAGTGGAGTGGGGGAAGGGCTCTCCTACCTGACGACCCACCAGCCATCCAAGAGCTTATGAATGACCTCAATGGTTTCGCCCTCGAGCAGGGACATCTCGTCCTCCTCCACGGCTGAATAGGCTTTGATGGTGACATAGGGCTCACCTGGTCCACAGTGGGGTACAGGGCATGGTGTGAAGGTCTGTCCAGTGTGGAGCTTGTTGCTCCTCCCTTCTTTGGGTCTTGGGCTTTCTCCAAACCCACCCAAAGCCCTTGACTCCCCCTCTGCCACTCCCTCCTCCGTCCTGCTCCTCAGTGTCCCCTGCAGGATCCTCCGGCCACCCATTCCTAGTACACTCTGGATGGCTGCCCTCTGCCCTTACACCCAGGTGAGCTTGCGCTGCCACCAGCACCAGCGGCTGGCAGGCCCGCTGGCTGGGCAGGG